GGTTATACCGATGGTCTTCAGATCGACCTTTTCGCGGGCGGTGGCCATCACCTCTGCATACGTGACCTTGGCATCTGGTGCCAAGGTCAGGGTGACGGCCGCTGTCTTCGGCGGCCTGGCAGGCTTCGCCTTTTTCGCGGCGGGGGCAGGCGCTTTCTTGGGGGGCGCCTTAGTTCCCTGTTGCCCCCTCTTCGCCGCTGGTCCGCCGGTTGTTGGTGGTGGCCCCTCCTGTTTTTGGGACCTCTTCGCCTTGCGGCCCACCACCGTTGCCCATGTTTCCCCCTGGGCGGCGAGGCGGGTCTCTTTCTGGATGCCCCGCATCCTCGCCTCCAGAGGCGACTCCTTTGTTCCAGCCTGGGGTGTGGCCTTCACCTGCCGCTCACCCCCAGGCTTGGGCTTCGGGGCGGTCTTAGCCCCTCCAGCCCTCTCCTCCTTCTTTGGGGGCGGGTTCTCCCTACCTTTGGCCGAGAGGACCCCCATGAATTCCTCCCTGAGAGAGGAGACCTGTTGCATCAGGGCGGCTATGCACACCCTTATGTCCCCTCCCTCAGGGTCTACCTTCTCCACCCGTCTAATCTTGGGCACGCTCTTGATTGGGGCGGGTGGTTCCATCTCCATCCACGAGGGCCCTGCCACTGGTTCTGACAGGGCCCCCTCGTCAGGCCGGCTCCTCTTGTTTGCCCCCACTCGTTCCAAGAACGGGGAGGCCGATCTAATGGGCCTCTCCGCATGAGCTGGGGCCATAAAGATTGGGGCCTCGACGGCTCCCAAGCGAGCTTTCACCTCCGCGAGCTCTCTGCTAAGGTTGAGCGTCTGCTCAACCTGCTTCGCCAGCTGCTCGTCGCGGAGGCGTAGCTGACGCCTCAGCTCAGCCACCTCGTCCGCTGCGTTGTCCAGCGCTCCCCTCTTGGCCATCTCGACGTTGATGGCCCTGATGCGCCGGGCGGCTACTCGAAGGGACCTTTGGCACGTGCCCTTCAGGCCCTTCGAGATGGAGGCGACCCTCTCCACGTCGTCCGTGAGTTCTAGGGACTGGGCCGCCAGCGCGGCCATCGGCTCGTAGCGGAGCTCCCTCTCCAGCTCCTCCTGCTCTGGCAGAGGGATGCTGCTCTTGCTTGAAGGGCGGGGCGGAAGGGAGCGGTCCAGAGATCGCTCCTCAGCGTGCAGCTCCAACTCCTTGCGCTTCGCCTCCACCAGCCGCTCCTTGGCCTTAGCCAGGCCGACGTACTCGCCGGTGGTAGGCGGTCTTCCCCTCCTGGTTGTGGGCCTGTCGAGCGAGACGACGGATGCGGATGCGATAGACTCATCAGAGTCATCCCCGCTTTCGCAGGCAGGAGTTCCCCTCCCCGATACCGAGGAACACCTACTCCCACGGGAGGTGGATCCTCCCCTTCTCGCCCTCTGGGGGCGGGGGGCAACAAAAAGATTGTTGTTGCCCTCCGTGCTCGTATACACGTCCATCGCTGTGTCCGTGTCCATGGTCAGAGTCCTTGCACTTGCCGTTACCGTCGCCAGTTCATCCCGTCCGTATATGTTTGGTTTTTGTTTTTGAGTTTCATCCATACTTGGTCCCACGAGTGGGTCGGTCCGTGGGTCCACCCGGGCAGAGCCGCCTTACCCGGGTAAGGCTGATACACCCGGGGGGTCGCCAGGTACCCCGGGGTTGGCCGCTACCGACTGATGCACCCATCAGCCACCCCTGGCGCTAACTCCAGGGGCACCCTCCTCACCGCGCACCGCAGCTTGGGGCTAGGGATTTTTTATAGAGGTTGTCATCCTCACGGGCCGGTCAATGAAGACGAGCCCCCCGTTCCAGCGAAACGTGACCACTGGTTTACGGTATAATTGCTAGGGCACTCCGGGTTCGCTACCCGCACCAGACCGCCACGCAGCCTGGCCCCTGGAGAACTCAACGACGCAGCCGCCACCTTTTCGCCTCTCCGACCCAGGCCTTGCCGGCAAGGGAGGCCCTGCCAGGATCCGAAGATCCCACCGGCATCGCCCCGGGTCATCTGCGAGGCTACTCCGACAGCAGCAAGCGCCCCCCTTTTAGTCGCCTCCTACGACAGGCAGGGGTTACCGTGCCTGTATTCTATCCCCCAGTCACAGGGGAGGTTTTTGATGGGTTTTTCCTTCCCTTGGTGTTTGGTCCGCGGGAGCTATTTTATTTCACTCCTACCCTCCATGCACTCCGAAAAGTGCATGGCGAGCATTCCCCTATCCGCCACCTGGGGACGCGCCACGTCGGGGTATCACCTCCCCGCCCAGCCAGTACACTTGGCCAGGTCCGTGGAACCTAACCTAACCTAACCTAACCTAACCTAACCTAACCTAACCTAACCTAACCTAACCTAACCTAACCTAACCTAACCTAACCTAACCTAACCTAACCTAACCTAACCTAACCTAACCTAACCTAACCTTTTTTTTTTTTTTTTTTTTTTTTTTTTTTGTACGTGGAGGAAATCTTCCTAAGCCACCTCCCGCCCCCCTGGGGAGGGGCAGGAGGTAGTGTGGGATTTCTACCCACTAAAACCTCCACGGTGACCTGCACTGGGCTGCGGGGAGGGCCCCGGGACCTCTTACGAACACTCCGGGACCCCCCCGCCCTTGGCGCGACTGCGCCCCATCTCGGGGGAGGGTCTAACCTTTGACCCTCCCCCATACGTGCCAACTCCGCCGACGTCGGGGGTCACACCCGACGCCGGCTACTCCTCGGGCCGCGTGCAATGACGACCGGGGCCCCAGCCCCGGCCGCCTGCGGCCCGGCGGCCCCGCACCGTGCTTGCGGGGCCACCATATCCTTTGATGGGGAGAGGCCAAATCCCTCCCCCCTCTCCTCCTCTTCTGGGGATGGCTGGCGCCTCCCCCTAGTCCTCTTCGGGGGAGCCGATGCTCCCCCATCCTCTTCTATCGGTGGGGGCGGTGGGCCTGGTATGTAATAGCTTCACGGCCCACCGCCCCGTCCGCCTCATCTGCTGTTGGCGCCGTCGGGAGGCCTACCCCGACGGCGCGTCCTCCTGCGGGCGGGGTCAGCTCTCTCCCGACCCCGCTCCGCTTCCTCCTTAAGGGCGATGACCTCCTCACAGAATGAGGTCACCGCCCGCCACTGATCCTCGCCGGAAAGCATGGCTCTCACTACAGCCTCCGGCGAGAGATCAGGGCCCACCTCGCACTCCAGGGCGTGACGGGCCCGCGCAAACACTGGGCAATGCTGCAGTGTGTGCTGCGCGGAGTCCCGCCCCGCCCCGCAGTGGTGGCATATCGGCGTCGCCTCGCGACCTATCCGGCACAGGTAGTCACCGAAGCAGCCGTGCCCGGTGAGTACCTGCGTGGTCCGGTAGGTGACCCTTCCGAAGCCGCGGTCCCGCCATTCGTTGATAACCGGCAGGACCGCCCCGACCGCTCGCTGGCCGGCTGCGCCGCTCTGGATGAGCTCGCGGCGCCACCGGTCCAGGGCATTTTGCCGGGCCTGGTGCCTCCACTCCTGCTCGACCGTCGGCTCTGGCGGTGCCTCGCCCGTCTGGCGGTGGCCGCGCAAGCGCCAATACAACGTGGCGCCGGCCTCCGCCTCGTGCTTAAAAGGCACGACACCCGCCAGAGCCATCGCCGCCGCGTGGGAGACCGTGCGGTACCCCCTCACGACCCTGATGGCCATCGTCCTCTCTACCCGCCGCAGCACAGCTTGACTGCGACGGGACGCCATCAGGGCCTGGGCCCATATCGGCGACCCATAAAGGGCCATACTCCGCACGATCCCCGTGTAGAGGCGGCGAATCTTCTCGCTAGGCCCCCCGATGTTGGGCAATATCTGCCCGAGGGCGTTTGTTGCCCTTTCCAATCGGGGGGCCAGACGGTCGAAATGATCCTCGAAGCACCAGTGGCTGTCCAGGTGGAGGCCCAAGTACTTGAAGCCCTTGCCCACCTGGACTCTTGTGTCACCTACCCGGATCCAAGACTGGGGCGGTGGCGCGACCCCACGCCGAGGCGAGTAATGCCACATCGCCTCGGTTTTGTGGGGTGCTAACTGAAGCCCCAGCCTCCGGATGGTCGCTGCGACGGCAGCCACACCTATCTCCATAAGACGACTGGTCCTGCTCCAGTCCCGGTCGGTGGCAAAGATGTGGGTGTCGTCACAGTAACACCGCACACTTACCCCGTCCGGGACGGCGACCCACAGAGTCTTGTTGTACCCCAGGATCCACAGCGGCGGTCCCAAACGGGACCCCTGGGGTACACCCCTCTCGACGCCCCTCGTGTATATGCGTTCGTCCCGGCCCACATACATAATGTACCTATCCCATAGGTAGTGCCCTATGATCCTCGTCAGGTATGGGGGCGCTTCGTGATCGTTTAGCGCCCCCATTATCGTCCCGTGGGGCAGGGTGTTAAAGGCGTTCACTATGTCTAGTGAAACGCCCATCCCCACCCCGCCCCTGGACGTGGCCGAGTCGCAACAGGAGCGCAGCGAGTGAATTGCATCGATGGTGCTGCGCCCCTGTCTAAAGCCAAACTGCGACTCGGCCAGATCAGGGCCCACCAGGGATAGGTGCCGGGCGAGGCGGTCAGCTATCACCGCTTCGAACAGCTTCCCGACCTCGTCCAGCAAAACAATGGGCCGGTACGCAGAGGGGCTCTCTGCGAGCCGTCCTTCCTTCTTCAGCAGGACCAGTCGTCCGACCTTCCACTCCCTAGGGAATGTCCCCTCCTTCAGACAGGCGCTGAAGAGGCGCCTCAATCGCGGTCCAAGGACGCGCAGGGCCAATACCCAGGCTCGGCCGGGGATGCCGTCTGGGCCCGGAGCGGTGTTCCGGGCCGCCATACGTTTGATTGCCCCGGCCAGCTCCTCCTCCGTGACCCCCATTTCGTCGGTCCATTCGACTTGGACCGGCGCGGGGCAGGGGTGGTCGCCCTCGTCACGAGGGAATAACGTGTCCACCACCTGCCCCAGGAACTGGGGATCGAGGCTCTCCGTCACGGGCGGCGCTCTGGGCCTTAGTTTACTCATGGCCCATCTGTAAGGGCGCCCCCACGGATCCTTCTCCAGAGAGCCGAGGAGCTCTTGCCACGCCCGGGATTTGGCCTCTCCGATGGCCTGCTGCAGGGTTACCACTAGCACCCTGTAGCACCCGTACAGCGTTTCCTCCCTCGCTGGGTCGCGGTTCCTTCTCCGACGGGCTCTTTGCCACCGGCGGTCGGGCGACGTTACAGTTACGCCAGATGTCGGCGATTTCGCCCGACCACCAATAGGCGGCCCGTCTGGGGAGGCATTTGGCCCGGGGCATAGCAACATCGCATATTGCTTTCATCGTGCCCCGGAACCACTCCACTTCCTCCCCGATATCCGCGACCGGCCCGGCCGGTTGCTCCGGCCAGGTCACAGCGAGGGCTGCGGCCATCAGCGCGTCCCTATCCAGCCTCTTCAGCGCCCATCTCAGCGGTGGCAGGCCACTCGCCGGGCGGCGGTTGGTGGTGGAGTGAAATTCGAGGCGGATGTATCTGTGGTCGCTGAGCGACTCCGCCTCCTCCATCACCCTCCAACTCTGCACCATACGCACCGCCGAGGGAGTCGCGAAAGAGAGATCGACTATCGACTCCCCCTGTGCACGTACGCAGGTGCTAACAGAGCCCCGGTTCAGCAACCGGAGCTCATTTTCCGCCGCCCAGTCGAGCACCGCCTCACCCCTCGCGTCTGTCCTCGGGGACCCCCACGATTTTGCGTGGGAGTTAAAATCCCCGAGAACGAGTGCCGGCCGGGGGTAGCAACGGGAGATCACATCTCCCACCCGGCCTAGGCACTCTTCGAATGACGCGAGGGATAGGCTGGGCGGACAATACATGCCCACCACCGCTATTTCTCCCCACTGCACCGCTACGTAGCCCCGCCCCCGTTCCATTAGTGTTGGGGGCGGGGAAAACGCGGTGCCAATCACGGCCACGGAGCCGACCTCGTCCCCGAACCAGTCGTGTCTATCGGGGACCCTGTACGGCTCCGCGGCCACCGCCAATCCTACTTTCCACTCGGCCAGGTGGTGCAATAATAGGTCTTGCGCCCTGGCCGAGTGGTTCAGATTACTCTGAAGTATGGGCCCTTTGGGCCCCATTACTTTTTAGAGGCTGCCGCCTCCGCGGCTTTACCTCTCCTTGGGGTGGCAGATCTGCCACCCCTCCTCTTCTTTGGCGCAGCAGCCTCAGCTGGCTGCTGCTGCGCCTGTTGGGGGGGTGCTACTTTCCCCTGCTTGGCGCCCTTCTTCTTCTGCCTCTGGGATTTGGGGGCACACGACTTTGCCCCCAACCGGTGCCCCGCGGGTCGCCCCAGATCTGTGCATAGGGGGCACCGCGGTGTGGCGCTGCACGAGCTGGCCTTATGGCCCGACTCGCCGCAAACGTAGCAGCGGTCGGACCTGTCCACCTCGCAGGTGCATCGCTGCCTCACGTGGCCTTTCTCGAGGCAGCGGAAGCACTGCAAAGGCCTTGCCGGCAGCGCCTCGACCCTGGCTGACGACCAGCCAACCAGGATCCTCCCAGAGGCGACGATCTTGCCGAGCGCCGTCAGGGGGCACCTCGCCCAGACTGTACCCAGCCTGGCCGGGGAGATCCTAATTTCCCCGACCTTCACTTCTGCTGGGGTACAACCTCCAACAGCCGCAAGGGCGGCTGTAACATCCGCAGGGGACACCGAGTCATCCAAACCGGATACTCGTACCTCGCCCATTTTGACTGGGCGAGATACCCGGACCTCGGTGCCCCGAAACACCCCCTGGAGGCAACCCTCCAACGCGGTCGCCTTATCCGTCCGCCCCTCTCCTGGAATCTCCAGGACCAGGCCGCCTGTTACCGCCCGTCGTGGTCGAATCTCGGTTATACCGATGGTCTTCAGATCGACCTTTTCGCGGGCGGTGGCCATCACCTCTGCATACGTGACCTTGGCATCTGGTGCCAAGGTCAGGGTGACGGCCGCTGTCTTCGGCGGCCTGGCAGGCTTCGCCTTTTTCGCGGCGGGGGCAGGCGCTTTCTTGGGGGGCGCCTTAGTTCCCTGTTGCCCCCTCTTCGCCGCTGGTCCGCCGGTTGTTGGTGGTGGCCCCTCCTGTTTTTGGGACCTCTTCGCCTTGCGGCCCACCACCGTTGCCCATGTTTCCCCCTGGGCGGCGAGGCGGGTCTCTTTCTGGATGCCCCGCATCCTCGCCTCCAGAGGCGACTCCTTTGTTCCAGCCTGGGGTGTGGCCTTCACCTGCCGCTCACCCCCAGGCTTGGGCTTCGGGGCGGTCTTAGCCCCTCCAGCCCTCTCCTCCTTCTTTGGGGGCGGGTTCTCCCTACCTTTGGCCGAGAGGACCCCCATGAATTCCTCCCTGAGAGAGGAGACCTGTTGCATCAGGGCGGCTATGCACACCCTTATGTCCCCTCCCTCAGGGTCTACCTTCTCCACCCGTCTAATCTTGGGCACGCTCTTGATTGGGGCGGGTGGTTCCATCTCCATCCACGAGGGCCCTGCCACTGGTTCTGACAGGGCCCCCTCGTCAGGCCGGCTCCTCTTGTTTGCCCCCACTCGTTCCAAGAACGGGGAGGCCGATCTAATGGGCCTCTCCGCATGAGCTGGGGCCATAAAGATTGGGGCCTCGACGGCTCCCAAGCGAGCTTTCACCTCCGCGAGCTCTCTGCTAAGGTTGAGCGTCTGCTCAACCTGCTTCGCCAGCTGCTCGTCGCGGAGGCGTAGCTGACGCCTCAGCTCAGCCACCTCGTCCGCTGCGTTGTCCAGCGCTCCCCTCTTGGCCATCTCGACGTTGATGGCCCTGATGCGCCGGGCGGCTACTCGAAGGGACCTTTGGCACGTGCCCTTCAGGCCCTTCGAGATGGAGGCGACCCTCTCCACGTCGTCCGTGAGTTCTAGGGACTGGGCCGCCAGCGCGGCCATCGGCTCGTAGCGGAGCTCCCTCTCCAGCTCCTCCTGCTCTGGCAGAGGGATGCTGCTCTTGCTTGAAGGGCGGGGCGGAAGGGAGCGGTCCAGAGATCGCTCCTCAGCGCGCAGCTCCAACTCCTTGCGCTTCGCCTCCACCAGCCGCTCCTTGGCCTTAGCCAGGCCGACGTACTCGCCGGTGGTAGGCGGTCTTCCCCTCCTGGTTGTGGGCCTGTCGAGCGAGACGACGGATGCGGATGCGATAGACTCATCAGAGTCATCCCCGCTTTCGCAGGCAGGAGTTCCCCTCCCCGATACCGAGGAACACCTACTCCCACGGGAGGTGGATCCTCCCCTTCTCGCCCTCTGGGGGCGGGGGGCAACAAAAAGATTGTTGTTGCCCTCCGTGCTCGTATACACGTCCATCGCTGTGTCCGTGTCCATGGTCAGAGTCCTTGCACTTGCCGTTACCGTCGCCAGTTCATCCCGTCCGTATACGTTTGGTTTTTGTTTTTGAGTTTCATCCATACTTGGTCCCACGAGTGGGTCGGTCCGTGGGTCCACCCGGGCAGAGCCGCCTTACCCGGGTAAGGCTGATACACCCGGGGGGTCGCCAAGTACCCCGGGGTTGGCCGCTACCGACTGATGCACCCATCAGCCACCCCTGGCGCTAACTCCAGGGGCACCCTCCTCACCGCGCACCGCAGCTTGGGGCTAGGGATTTTTTATAGAGGTTGTCATCCTCACGGGCCGGTCAATGAAGACGAGCCCCCCGTTCCAGCGAAACGTGACCACTGGTTTACGGTATAATTGCTAGGGCACTCCGGGTTCGCTACCCGCACCAGACCGCCACGCAGCCTGGCCCCTGGAGAACTCAACGACGCAGCCGCCACCTTTTCGGCTCTCCGACCCAGGCCTTGCCGGCAAGGGAGGCCCTGCCAGGATCCGAAGATCCCACCGGCATCGCCCCGGGTCATCTGCGAGGCTACTCCGACAGCAGCAAGCGCCCCCCTTTTAGTCGCCTCCTACGACAGGCAGGGGTTACCGTGCCTGTATTCTATCCCCCAGTCACAGGGGAGGTTTTTGATGGGTTTTTCCTTCCCTTGGTGTTTGGTCCGCGGGAGCTATTTTATTTCACTCCTACCCTCCATGCACTCCGAAAAGTGCATGGCGAGCATTCCCCTATCCGCCACCTGGGGACGCGCCACGTCGGGGTATCACCTCCCCGCCCAGCCAGTACACTTGGCCAGGTCCGTGGATACATAATGTACCTATCCCATAGGTCTCCGACGGAACCTAACCTAACCTAACCTAACCTAACCTAACCTAACCTAACCCTAACCTAACCTTTTTTTTTTTTTTTTTTTTTTTTGTTTTTTTTGTTTTGATAGAAGAGGAGAGGAAAATGCTTTTACGCACGCGCAGGTTATCCCCTTGTCGCACTATTCGGCTAGAGGGGGCCCGGGCAGTGTGGGACTCATATCCCCTGAAGGGGGGCCTGGCTCCCGTTGGTGAGGGCAAACCCAAACAGGCAACCCAGAAGGGGCAACCTGATAGCCCAACCCTAAAGGGTGGGCACAAATGATAACGGTCACAGCCCGGAAGGGGCGACCCTGCGGCGCCCAGAAGGGGCATCCGCGGCCTGATATACTACCCACTAAAAACCTCTCCCCTGACGTAGGCCGCCGGTACCCTTTCATCCGTTGAGGATATCCCAGTTGTACCGGCGATAGCCGCGACGGCGCTTTAGCTCCCAAGCTTTCATGTTCGCTTTCGTCTACCCTCAATCCGCTATGCGCTAGGCACCACAGGGGATTGAGGAGCCACGCCGTAACACCTCCGATCAAGCGGTAGGATATTTTAACCTGCACGGTTTATGCGCAGGATTTTTCTTCGGCCACGACCAGGAACCGGAGCTCCTGCTCAACGGGTGATCGCGCCCCTACTTCACCTGCCTGCCATTAGCGAGGCCAGGAAACTTTCTCTTCGGCCACGATCAGGAACCGGAGGACTTTCCCACTCATCGGGTGATCGCGCCCCTACTTCACCTGCCTGCCATTAGCGAGGTCAGGAGCTTCCTCTTCGGCCACGACCAGGAACCGGAGGACTTTCCCACTCAACGGGTGGTCGCGCCAAATTTCACCTGCCTGGCACTACCCAGGACAGGGCTTCTTCTTCAGTCGCAATCAGGACCGGGATATCATATCACGCGGGTGACCGACCAATCTTCGTTCACCATGGTAGGTTGATAATGATGATGTGGCTTATCCTTGAAGTCATCACGCCCACCTGACCTTCCACGAGGACAGGCCATTTTTCTTCAACCACGATCGGCACCGGAGGACTTTCCCACTCATCGGGTGATCGGGCCGTGTCTTCACCAGCCTGCCATAAGCGAGGTCAGGAAGCTTTCTCTTCGGCCACGACCAGGAACCGGAGCTCCTGCTCAACGGGTGATCGCGCCCCTACTTCACCTGCCTGCCATTAGCGAGGCCAGGAAACTTTCTCTTCGGCCACGATCAGGAACCGGAGGACTTTCCCACTCATCGGGTGATCGCGCCCCTACTTCACCTGCTTGCAATGCGAAGACAGGGCTTCTTTTTCGGCCACGACCAGGAACCGGAGCTCCTGCTCAACGGGTGATCGCGCCCCTACTTCACCTGCCTGCCATTAGCGAGGCCAGGACTTTCTCTTCGGTCACGATCAGGAACCGGAGGACTTTCCCACTCATGGGGTGATCGCGCCATGTGTTCCGCCTGGCATATATGTGAGCACAGGGCTTGTTCTTCGACCACGGTCAGGAACCGGGAAATCCTTTCCCCGGTTGACCGCGCCATGTCTTGGTACGCTGCGACCCTCGATGACTTGTCCCATACGTACTCCAGCCACACACACACCGCTCCCAGAAAGCATAGCATTGAACGTTCAAACAACCCAAGCAGGTGAAAGGAGGCATGCAGGATGCCCATGAAGACAGTAGGCACATAGAGTAGCCACTCCCTAGCCAAGTGAAGAACGAAAGTGTAAGAAACAAGCTCAGACTCCAATCATATCGCACGAGTAAGATAATGTAGAAGTAAATTGCCATTGGCAAGAGAGCGGTAAAACAAAAAACAAGCAGCTGTAGCAGAGAGAATAGAAAAGAGTAGAAAAGAAAGTTAGTTAGGGAAGTATAATAGTAAATATTAGCATATAATCAACACCCAAACCAAATTAACCACACAACACTGCGTTCAGCTCTG